GCAAACTGTGTCTTGCAGGAGTGTGTAGTGCTGCAGTGACTGGAGTCCCCTCTCCTCACAGAAGGGCAGTGATGGCTGCACACTGATGGAGTTGGAGATAGTTACTTTGGTGCTCTGTGTACCTGCTCAGCTTCCTAATGGAAGATTCACAGTCTTAGGAGCCTGTAGGGCTGTCCTTGGGATAGCCATAGAAAGGGAGTTTCCCTATCCTACAAGTGTGCCTGGGTTCTCAGCCATTGATCCTAACCCCAGCTCTCCTGGAGAACTTAGCCCATCTGTTACCATGTCAGTTACTTCAAGGTGGGTTTTTCTGGAGATTTTTAAATGCTGGTGCCTCCTGTGCTTTCCTTTCATTCCAGCCCTGCCTCATCAACGAGACCACCAAAACACAGCACCTTCATATTGCCTCGCTCCACCTCAGAAACCTCAAAGCCAACTGCTTATGTGTGTACGCACACTTGAGGCGCTTACACATTACTGCTTCGGCACTGCTTGGTTTGGGAAGAACCCTTATGGTGGATTTCTGCAGCACTGATTACTCTTTGTGGCTCCTGGGACATTTTGGCTCAGCAGACCAGCTTCAGAGTATGAGCTTTCCTAACTGCAGCCACTGCTGGATCTAGTTACTAATTATAACTGCAGGAGTATCTTGTGCCTGTTAAAAGAACGAATCAGTAATGCCACAGGGCTTTTTCTTAAGGCTTAGGCAGATGTCATGAAGCCAGAGTTAGACATGACTAATAGTAAATGCTGAGCTAAGTAAAGTATAGGTTATTTACTTGCTCTCTCCAAAAACTTTAATTGAATACCATGGTCTTTCAAAGTAAGCCTTATTTCATACAAAAACTGACCTTCTGCACCTTTGTTTCTCTTTGAGACTCTTCTACTACTTCTACTTAGACAAATTGAGAAGTGTTCTCTGGTTTCCCCATGTCACGGGGGAGTTTTCTCTCTAGAAAAACCATATTCTCTTGCTGTTTTACTATTAAATGCTGTGAGTATATTAGGATTAAGGAGAAAAAAAAATAAGAAAAAATAAGTATATCTTCAAAGGGAAGGTGTTTCTGTTCCTTTGGACAGAACAGGACACCTGTAGGAAATGCAATTACTAGGGCCTTTTTGTATCAGGAAACATAACATCCTCTTCAATAAAATAAATTTTTGAAAAGCGACAGAACAAATCAGTTTATACAAGTAAAACTCTTCCTGGGTGGGGGAAATCCCCCCCAAAACCTTTTCCTTTAGACTTTCTTGAAGGAAGACTGAAAGTGCAGGAGGATTTCCCATCCTTGGCAAGGCATTTTGCAGTACAGAATTTGTGTAATAGGATTTTGGAAAAAAGCTGTGAGAAAATCCTCAGTAAAAAATGACTGAGTTTCAAGTATTGTAAGTAAATACCTGGAATATGTCCTTTGGTTAGTGGAGTGAGTAGGTTTTGGTAGATTTAAAAGAACTCTGTGTCTTTAAGGTAGGGATGTGAGATGTTAGGTGTTAGAAAGTTTTCTTGTGAAGCTGCATGGTTGCACCTCCAGAAGTCCATCTAGAGAATGAAAGTCACTGTACTTAAAAAAATAGGTAGGCAGGCATGTGTCTATGCATATTAATACTGCTTTGGTGGAAGAGCAAATACTTGAAAGCTATGCTAGAAATCTTAGGAGTAGCAAATAATTCTCCAGTTGCAGAGACCCTTCTGTTCGAGTCTGTGGCTTCTTCCAAGAAGCCACAAAGTGGCTGTGAGTTTCTCTTCATTCCTGTGTGTATTTCTAGAAATGAAGTACTAGACCATAGATTAAGAAGAAACTTGTGTTCAGGATGTGTGTGGTGTAGAGAACATACTTTTCATTATAGAGTAAGCATTGGCTAGCAGGGAAAAAAAGAGTTGGAGATTATTTAATCCCATTCGAAGAAAGTTTCTATGAAACCCATTTTGTGTGCTTAGAAAAGAAAGAACAAAACAAACATGAGAAACAGCAGGAGGGAGGAGTGAAGAGAAATGGCTGGCTTATTACCGAGTGATCAGACAGGTGCTCAGAAACAGAATAGCATGGTGCAATAGCTGTCACTGATAGCAGCGTGTTGCTGTCAAACAGCTCTGGGTGCTCCTGCGGTGTCCATGGGCTCACAAATGTGTTTCTCAGCAGCAAGTGAAGTGCTGGTAGGGGACATTAGGGTAGTATTAACCAGATGGAGTTTCCTAAAGTTCCTGCACTTCCATAGATCACACATTTTAGTTGTAAAATCTGTTCTCTTCTCATAAAGAGACTTGGGTGGGGAGACAGGCACCCACTGCTGCTGTTTCCCTTCTTTATTGCTGTAAATGACTTGAGAGAGAAGAAACTGAGGCACCCTGTGCATTTCAGGAGAGGCTCTGGGAACAGTCTGAAGTCATTGCCCTGTTGTCAGCACGGTCAAAATATTAGTAAGTGTTACTGCAGTGCAACAGGAGGACACTTCTACATTGTGCATACAGTGCTGTGTAAGGACTAATACTAGATAAAGGACTCTTGGGCATGCTTTGGGTATCAACCTTGGTTTATATTTAATGGAATTAAGAGGCAAAAGCCCTTCTTCTCTTTGGCCTGTCTCAGCCCAGACATGTTGCTGTTGTCTCTAAGAGCGAGTCATGGTAGCAGGAAGGATCTTTGCAGGGGAGCCTGTTAAAAGCAGTGTCAGTTTGGAGTTATCTGCTTAAAAATAACATGAATTTGCCATTGCCAGTCATGCTGACATGTGTCTGTGGTACCATTTCTCACACCTAGTTTTAGAACCATCTAAACTGCTGGTAGAGGGTGCGAGAAGGGTTCTGGGGGTTTCCTGTGCAGCTGCTGGAGTTGGTGGTGTGAAGAAGCACCTAGAGCTGATGAAACCAACTTCTGGAGGTGATAATGCAGCTCCAGATCTTCTCTCTGACTGGAGATTGCTCCCTTGGTAGGAAATTAAGATCTTAAATCCAAGTTTCTTGTTTGATGCTTTGTCAAGCAGAAAGAAAAACTGAATGCCTGCTGTGTAAGGGAGAATCAGAGACTCTTTCACTGGTCATTGGGTGCTGCAGGCTGGTGTCTGTGTATTTCCAAGTGTGCTTTCTGTGCAGCTTGCCTCGTTTTCTTCTGCTGTTTAGAAGTAAACCTGGGTTTGCCTCCTATCTACAGTTGCATAACCCTTTTTCTTTCCAGTATGACTGTACATCTTTGCCAACTATCAGAAATGCTTACATGGAAAAAACTTTATTACAGCAAGGTATTTTTAGCTGTCT